ATGATCCTCCTCCTCTGCCTTGGGCCAGTGTATAATAATATAATGGTAATGTATCATAATAATATAATAATTAATAATAATAATAATAATATAATAATAATTTATAATAATAATAATGTATCATAATAATATTATCCTCTTTCTTCTCCTTGGGCTTGGGCTGGTGTATAATAATATAATAGTAATGTATCATAATAATAATTTATAATAATAATAATAACAATAATGTATCATATTAATGTGATCCTTCTCCTCTGCCTTGGACTTGGGATGGTTTATAATAATACAATTGTAATGTATTATAATAATATAATAATAATTATTATTATTATTAATAATAATAATGTATCATAATAATGTATCACAATAATATCATCCTCCTTGGGCCTGGGATGGTATATAATAATAATAGTAATAATAATAATGTATCATAATAAGAAGAATGCAATAATAATAATAATAAATGTATCATAATAAAATGCAATAATAATGTAATAATAATAAAATAAAGTAACAATGTATAATAATAATAATGTAACAATAATAATGTATCATTAATGTATCACAATGATATCATCCTCCTTGGGCTTGGGATGGTGTATAATAATAATAATAATAATAATAATAATAATGTATCATAAGAAGAATGCAATAATAATAAATGTACAATCATAAAATGTATAATAATGAAATGCAATAATAATATAATAATAATAAAATACAATAACAATGTATTATAACAATGTAACAATATCAATGTATCATATTAATGTATCACAATAATATCATCCTCCTCCTTGGGCTTGGGATGGTGTATAATAATAATAATACTAATAATGTATCTAATAAGAAGAATGCAATACTAATAATGTATCATAATAAAATGCAATAATAATCAATGTATAATAATAAAATGCAATAATAACGTAATAATAATAAAATATAATGGATTTATATTTTAATATAAATTTATAATAATAATAGTAATAATAATAATAATAATAATAATAATAATAATAATAGTAATAATAATGTATCATAATAATATCATCCTCTTTCTTCTCCTTGGGCTTAGGATGGTGTACTATAATAATAATAATAATTATTATTATTATATCTAATTATAATGGAATAATAGTATAATCATAACAATATCATAATAATGTATCATAATAATATTATCCTCTTTCTTCTTGGGTTTGGGATGGTGTACTATAATAATAATAATAATAATAATAATAATAATAATAATAATAAATTGTCGAAGGCTTTCATGGCCGGAATCACTGAGTTGTTGTAGGTTTTTTTGGGCGATATCGCCTCTAGAACATGGCCATATAGCCCGAAAAAACCTACAACAACCCAATAATAATAATGATAATAATAATAATATATCTAATTATAATGGAATAATAATATATTATAATAATGTATCATAATAATATCATCCTCTTTCTTCTCCTTGGGCTTGGGATGGTGTATTATATTATTATTATATCTAATTACAATGGAATAATATAATAATATTATAATAATGTATCATGATAATATCATCTTTCTTCTAATTGGGCTTGGGTTGGTGTACAATAATAATAATAATAATGTTATTATTATTATATCTAATTATAATGGAATAATATTATAATAATATTATAATGTATCATAATAATATCATCCTCTTTCTTCTCTTTGGGCTTGGGATGGTGTACAATAATAATAATGATATATTATTATTATTATATCTAATTATATCTAATTATAATGGAATAATAATATTATAATATAATAATAATGTATCATAATAATATGATCCTCCTTCTCCATTTATTATTATTGTTATTATTATATCTAATTTTAATGGAGTAATAATATTATAATAATGTATCATAATATCATCCTCTTTCTTCTCCTTGGGCTTGGGATGGTGTAGTATAATAATAATAATGAGGTCACGAAGAGTCGGAAACGACTGAACGAATGAACAACAACATCATAATAATATCTTATTACTTCTTGGGCTTGGGATATACAATAATAATAATAATAATATAATAATAATAATGTCTCACAATATTATCATACACTTTCTTCTCCTTGGGCTTGGGATGGTGTACTATAATAATAATAATAATAATAAATTATTATATCTAATTATAATGGAATAATAATAATAATGTATCATAATAATATGATCCTCCTCCTTCTCCATTTATTATTGTTATTATTATATCTAATTTTAATAGAGTAATAATAATATCATAATAATGTATCATAACAATATCATCCTCTTCCTTCTCCTTGGGCTTGGGATGGTGTACTATAATAATAATAATATACTATTATTATATCTAATTATAATGGAATAATAATAATAATAATGTATCATAATAATATCCTCTTTCTTCTCCTTGGGCTTGGGATGTACAATAATAATAATAATGTCTGTTTATAATGGAATAATAATATAATATAATAATAATATTATACTAATGTGTCATAATAATATGATCCTCCTTCTCCATTTATTGTTATTATTATATCAAATTTTAATGGAGTAATAATAATATTATAATAATAATGTATCACATTATTATCATACTTTTTCTTCTCCTTGGGCTTGGGATGGTGTACTATAATAATAATAATAATAAATTATTATTATTATATCTAATTATAATGGAATAATAATAATAATGTATCATAATAATATCCTCTTTCTTCTCCTTGGGATGTATAATAATAATAATAATAATAATAATAATATGTCTGTTTATAATGGAATAATAATATAATATAATATAATAATAATATTATAATAATGTGTCATAATAATATGATCTTCCTTCTCCATTTATTATTGTTATTATTATATCTAATTTTAATGGAGTAGTAATAATATTATAATAATGTATCACAATATTATCATACACTTTCTTCTCCTTGGACTTGGGATGGTGTACTATAATAATAATAATATATTATTATTATATCTAATTATAATGGAATAATAATAATAATGTATCATAATAATATCCTTTTTCTTCTCTTTG